TTTATGGTAAAAATCATTATGTCACAATGTTTCAGAAAAAGGTTACATTCTATACACTTGAAATTTGTTTATCATATTTTCTCTATCTAATTAAACACAAAATAGCAAAGTACTTTCCATGTTTCTGATTTAGAAGTGGTATGACTTCTAAACTATCATTCTTAGTTTATCCTAAATCTTATTTTGTTTTTCCCCAGGCTATATGCTTGAAATCACAGATCTTGGATGGTGATTGCAATCACGATCCTTGAAATTATCCAAGTATAATGATTTGTGAAGACCCAAAATCTAACATAGTACTAGTCCTTTTTATCCATTGACACAATCTCAACCACTCTCCAACTTGTGTATCATTGTCTCTACATCTAATTTATAGCATACTGCCTTGGGCATCCATGAATTTATACTATGAAATTTCCTATATATGCTTTTCGCACAATGTAATGTTGCTTTCTAGCGTCGTTCTTTATAATTCATGTAAACTTTTTAACATAAACCTTCAGATTTTCATTATTTTGCAATCTACCCCATGTGTACCATTTGATATCCATGTTATCACTAATCTAAAGTAAATTTGGCTATAATGACTACTTGGTTCTCATTGATAATTTTCCCAATCTGGATTTATACCCCTTCAAATCTAGGCCAAAAACCTTTGAAAAATTCTCATATGATTTCTCTTTCACACACACACACACACGCGCACGCACACACACACACACACACACATATATATATATATATATATATATATATGTCCACACCTATTTTTCAAAGAACCATTAAAACCTTTTAGTGTGACATGGATGATGAAGTTGACAATACACGTTGACAAAGTTAAGTGCATACTATGTCGTCTCAACAACACTACCCTCATTCCCTAATCATATATCCTTAGTACTACCCTTATGGGGTTATGACCCTCAACACTACCACCCACCTTTACAATATCTTACCCATATCTACCTTACTGTCATGCACGATGATATTGTTCTTATTCTTCCACTACAAACATGTGACCACATTTATTCCATTGGTTATGTATGATATCCAAATTCCAGATCCACCCACTATCATAAATTCTAACCATGATCCATTTATTGTGTTTTCTCTGGTTACACTTCTAACTAATGATGGTGTCATTTCCTCGATCATGTTAACATAAAGGCTCATGTTTCTTGTCATGTCACTTTTTACGAATCCTCTTTTTTATTGAATCAAAACCCTATAAAATGTGACTATTATTTCCCATAAAAATTCTAATTGAAACTCCTGATTTGTTTTTTTACCTAATTCAAAGCAAAACTACTACACCATCTCCCTTCTATACTTAACATATCTTGCCCCCACTCAAGTCGTTGATGTTTCTATGCAACCGTCCCACATATTTTCCACCATTCCTAGCCTTTTCTACTGTGTTGTTGTTATATTTCGGCACCATATCTATCTCTCCTCACAAACCAAACCCAATACAACCATGCCCATTACACGTCCATCATAATTTCCAACTTCTTAAAAACCCATGACTACTCATTTAAAATTTGACACCTTCATATATTTATATATTGTAAACCTTCACCATACCTCCTAACCTCCCATTTTCACCTATCCATAAATCCCTTATAGATTCTTTTTGTGATCATAACTATAATGATTCCATGTATAAAGAATGTGAAATATTACAACATAATCATATTTAGGATATAATAATGTATTCCAATGATCCATAGATTTTGTATTGTCGTTGGTTGTATAAAAATATCACCAGTACAACTCTATAGAATGATATAAGAAAAAGGTTAGTAGTTAAAGACAAAACCTAACGAGTTGAAGTTGACCATGATGATACTTTCAACCTAGTTATAAGATCAACAATGACATGCATAGTTTTCAACATTAAAGTTTATTGCTGGAGGCATACGCGCAAATTAGATATGAAAACACCTTACATGGGACTTACAAGAAACAATATTCATGTTGCAACCTCCCAAGTTCATTGATGCTTTATACCTCTCTCATATTACTACCTTAAGAAATCACTATATGACCTCAAATACCCCCCCCCCCCCCAACCCAAACACAATACCAAAGGTTTGCCACATTTCTTACTTCACATGAGTTATATTTTATCTCACCTTTTGTTTTTGACATGGGACTACACCATTTTCATATTTTTATATGTTTTATGACATTGTGATCACTGCCTCCTTCAACTCACTTTTGAAACAAATTACTATATCCATCTCGAATGAGTTCATGATGACAAACATTCACGAATCACATAACGTTTTTGAGATTTTAGCAACTCAAAACCATGATGGCATTTTCTCTTTAAATCTTAATATTTTAAGGATATTTTGGCACATGCCAACATGTCTCATTGCCACTTTGCAACCTCTCTAGTTGACATGAACCATAAGCTTAATGTCATAAAAGGTTCATTGAATTATGATCCATCAACCTATTAGAGCCTTTTCGGGATACTACAATACTTAACCTGTACACTTCTAGATATCACACATGTAGTCTACCAAGAGTGCATGTTCTTTCGAAATTCATCTTTGTTTTCTCAAATATATTATATGGTATTTACAAGTTACTCTCCACTCTGGGATCCCTCTTTTGACACATGTATCCCTTACCGCCACCACTAACTGCTTAGGTGTTGAATAGGAGGGGTGTTTATTTGGACCCATGTCGAGTTATACTACATATACTAAGTAGACAAATTAGTCTCATGGTCCTTTAAGTTCCATCACATAGTTTAAGGGTCTAGCTGGTAGCTAATGTGGATGTTGAAACAAGATGGCTACGCAAACCTACTTCTCAAATTACAAATATATGGATATATGTATGTCGTTCATTGTGATAATGTATATGTTTTTACCTTTTTGAAAATTTGGTGCTAAATCAGTACATCAAGCATATTGAGATATTTATTTACTATATTTTTCTCGAGTTCAAATACTTGTCTTCCTTGAGTTCAAATTGTGGGGTATATTAAGAATATGTCTCTTTTAATATATTTGCAGTATTGTAGATCAGATTTGTATAATATAGAGTTTGTTCTATTTTTGTACCTCTATATATAGGGTTGTATTCTATTGTTTTATCCATAAAATTAGTTGTAAGCCCTATATATTACATGAGTTAATTTAAAAAAAAATATAAATGTCTAAATATTTGAGAATTTTGAATTTATATGAAAAAAAAAGAAAAACAATGAATTATTTCAATAAAAATGTTTTTTATATTTTAAATTTAAACAAATAATTTAAATAAATATACAAAAAAACTAATAAACTTTAATTTTAAATGTTTTGAAATTAAAATGTAATTTCATTAATAACATTGATATATATTTATTACTATATTTATTGCAATGATTACTTTAAAGTATTAAGTTAAATCTAAAAAAATAGACAAACCTATAAAATGATATTTGAAAAAAAAATTAATTCAAAATAATCATAAAATGACATTTGACAAATTAAATAATAACATGACAAGTGGCAAAAAAAACTTTATTTTTTTTATGAAAGAGTAAAAAAACCAACTTTATTAGGGAGGATTTGAAATATATTTCCTTTGGTTTCTAGGTAAAAGTTTGAGATTGAGGCAGGGCCGGTCCAGACGGTGGGCATCCTGGGTGACTATCCAGGGCCTACGTTTCCAGGGGATCCAAAATTTCTGGTCTATGTAGTGTGTGTGTGTATATATATATATATATATATATATTATTACCTAAATGATTTTATGACCTAAAATTCGTTCAAACTTAAACTAACTTAAAAGATAAACAATTGTTTGCTTGTTATTGCTAATTGAACACGCTTATAGTGAAGAATAAATGACATATCTTTTTATTTTTTATTATATTTGTCTTTAAGAGACAATTTTTTTTTCTTTTCGACCCAGGTCCCATATACATTTAGACCAGCCCTGGGTTAAGGGGAATAACAAAGCTGAGTTTAACTCAGACCATGACAGTATGTGAGTTCCTTATTTTCAAAGTTTTAGTATTGGCCTTCTATGTTGAGTTCGAACTCGCCAAATCTTTTGATCAAAATGAACCCATAAATATTTGGTTGATGTTTGGATAAATTAGATTATAGCTTATTAGTTTATTTGCGGTGAGAATAAATTAGGGAGATACTTATTAAAATCAACTTATTTAGCTTATCTTTATCACAATAAAATGATTTTTAAGGATTCTTATCCAAACACTTAAACTTAGCTTATTGAAATAAAAATAAACAATAAGCAATAAACAACCTATTTTTTCCCATTCCAAACATGCCTTTAATTTATAAATATTCATTTGTGCTGAGATAATGTGGCCCGTTTGCTTTTTCGCTTTCCCATTTGGGCAAACATATTTATAATTTAATGAATTAAAACATGTTTTATGCAGTTTAATCTTTTTTTTATTTTTTTTATTTTATATATTAACATCTTCTTTATAGAAGACATCAAACCGAAAAACAAAAGTTGGATAGCAAATTCAGTCTCTTTTATAAATATATATTCCAATATAAAAAGACACCAAAAGTGTAAAAAATCCGCTCAAAAGAAAAAGAGGAAAAAGAATAACTTATCATGTTTTAAAACTATTTTATTAAAACCAAAACAATCGCAATGAAATTCAATCGGTAAACAATATATCTTGTAGACTCCCATCGACTGAAAACAGTGTGTATAAATATAAAGAAAGGACAAGCGTGACACCCGCTCTGATACTATCACTTCCTTTTCCTTTCTGTTTTTTTCTGCGACCTTCTCTCTATCTCTCTCCTCCCCTGATTGATACATACAGAGCGCCTAAACCTATACGTATAGAGAGAGAGATAGAGAGAGAAGACAGAGGGTTCTAGAGAGAGAAAGAGAAAAAAAACAGAGTAAAATTCAAGGACCAATGGATGATTGTATGAGGGTGATGATCAATACCCTCTCCACTTTACTCCTTTTCTCCTTTCTGTAATCAAACTACACTAAACCCAATGGCCATTTTATCACCATATTCATCTTCTTTCCTAGACACACTCTTCTGCAATGAAGAACACGATCAACAATGGAGTCTTGAAGATGGCGATGGAGATGAAGATGAAGATGAAGTTACACAAACCACCCTCACAGACTCCTCTGATCTCCATTTTCCATCCCTGGGCCAGCAAGATTTGTTCTGGGAACATGAAGAACTCGTGTCTCTCCTCACAAAAGAACAAGAACAAGAAAAACAAACCACTTGTACTTTCTCTTTTGACCAAACAGATCCCTCTGTTTTTCTTGCTCGCAAAGAGGCTGTGGAATGGATCCTTAAGGTCAAAGCTCATTATGGATTCACACCTCTTACAGCCATTTTAGCTATCAATTATCTTGATAGGTTCCTCTCCAGTCTCCATTATCAGAAAGATAAGCCATGGATGATTCATCTTGTTGCAGTCAGTTGCCTCTCTTTGGCTGCTAAAGTTGAAGAGACTCAAGTCCCTCTCCTACTAGATCTTCAAGTACGATAATAATATAAACACAAGACATCAACTTTATCCACCATTTTTTATAAAATCGATCTGGGTTTTCAAAATCTTGAGCTTACGCTACTGGGTTTTTGTTTTCTTGAATCTTTACTGTAGGTGGAGGACGCAAAGTTCTTGTTTGAGGCCAAAAACATACAAAAGATGGAGCTTTTGGTTATGTCGACACTGAAATGGAGGATGAACCCAGTTACTCCGATCTCATTTCTTGATCACATTGTAAGAAGGCTTGGATTAAACAATCATCTCCATTGGGATTTCTTCAAGAAATGTGAAGCTCTCGTTCTTGATTTAGTCTCAGGTAATTAATTTATCTAGAGTCAACTCAGATCAGATCTTTCTGACATTATTAAAACTCTTTTTGCTGTGTTCTAATTCTGTTTTCATTTTTGGTTTGTTTTGTTTCAAGATTCAAGATTCGCATGGTATAAACCATCTGTATTAGCCACAGCTACGATGCTTCGTGTGGTAGATGAAACCGATCTTCCCAACTCCATTGACTACAAAAGTCAACTTCTGGATCTTCTCAAAACCACTAAGGTTTGTCTCTTTGTCCTTTCCGGTTTCCACTATCATACTTATGGTCTGCTTGTGCATGTTTTTGGGTACAACTCCCACTGCTCATGGAACAACTTTTGATGCAATAAATGGTATGATGGTACTTTGTTTGAAAAAGTCGCTGTAAGACCTTGCTTGCTTTGATTTAGTTATCATGCTTAAAACATGTACTGTGCATCAACAGATGTACTCCAAAGTCCAAACAGAAGGGTGATTTCGTCTTTTTAATTAGTTACAGACCTTAAGGTCAAGATAATGTTTGCATGTGAGTTGTAACACAATCTTTGATGATATAACTAGATCATAATGCATGCATAACTGAGTTTCACTCGTACTTTCATTTCTTTTTCTTAGTATTAATAATACTTTTTACATTTATACAGGAAAACGTAAACGAGTGCTACAAGCTCGTTATGGAGCTACCTTACAATCATCATAATAAGCGAAATCCAGAAGAAAACGAGACGACATATCCTGTTAGCCCAGCTGGTGTCATTGATTTCACATGTGATGAAAGTTCAAATGATTCATGGGAAATCAACGATCATCTTTTCAATCAACCTTCGTTCAAGAAAACGAGATTCGATCAACAGTTTGGGTTTAGTTCGTTTCTAAGTTTCGAACCATTTGTGAGCCCTCGCTAGCCATGATTTCATGGAGGGTAGCTGTTGTCGGAGCATGCAGGTTATTAAAATCGGTCTAGTACTAGATATAAACGACCTGTAATATATGGGGACTAAATATAAAACGACCAAGTGAGTGGTTGATGTAGAGATATGGTCGTGGTTGGTCGATTTCTATTATCCTTTTAGGTCGTTTTTAATGTGAGATAAATTAAATCGGGTAATGTGAAGTCCTTTTCAAGCAATGGAGATATATTTATGGATGATATTTAAAAAAATTATTTTGTTGGGTCATAAACTCTTGTCTTTATACACATATTTCACGATTTACTAGCTTACATTTGTTCTTAAAAAACAAACAAAATCTTTTTTTACCTGCAATTGCAGATGTAGTAGGATGATCGGTTCAAAAATACCATTAAACTCATATTTGCTATTCAAGAATTACCATTAAATTTATTTTTTATACAACGATTTACTGTTAATCTAAGTTTTGTACACGTTTATTTACATTATCTTTTCCAACAATTAGCAATTTTCCATCCAACATATTCAAAGAGTGTTTGGATAAATTAGCTTGGTGAAAGAAAACTGTTTTTGTGTTTGGATTAGAAATAATCAACAAGCTATAAGCAAGGGGATGTCTATTAATATTAGCTTATTTAGCTTACTCTCATTACAATTTTCTAAAAAAGTTCTAACCGATTATTGTTGTGTCGTGCAGCATTTAGTCCTTCGCACCTGTTTGTTTTTTAGAAGACTTCTGACTTAAAAACTGTTGTGTGAGTTGCGTGATGCAACATTTGACCATTTGCTTTAAACCTCTTTACATCTTACTTTAACTTATTGCAGCAGTCTGCAGAAGTTAAAAAACAAATACACTTTTTATTATATTTTTAGCCGTTTGATCTCCTCTTCTTTTACAGAGGATTGCAGAGGTGGTTCGCATACTTTAAACATTTTCGCTTCAAAAAACAAACGATACTTAAGTTGATTTTTATTGTTTTCTATCCAAATGCTTAAACATACTTTATAGCGGTAGAGATAATCAAAAAGCTATAAACATCATCTTTTTTCCTATCCAAACGCCCTCTCAATGAAGAAATGTAAATATTTTTCTTCTCATCTCTAGTCAAAACGTCCACACAACCTTTACTACCTTGCTTAAGTCGTCCTATTGTTGTTCACATATTTCCTTGTTATTCTACCTCTCCTGCTATGTGAAATCCATTTTTACTCCAAATCCTTCTTTTATCGCTTTCTTCTTTGAATCGTATGCCACCGGTAAGCACATTCGTCCAAGTATGCATTTTTATTGCTACAATATGACTTCAAACTGATTGGAGGTTAATTTAAATGTCGGTTTGAATAGATTAGATTTGAATCGATTTTGTTGTAGGTCGAAGCTGATTTTAGATTATTGAATGATGTTGATGGAATGTGTTGTTTGTTGTTTGAGGTGGATAGTGATTGTAAGAGATGGACGACAATGGTGGGAGTGGGTGGTGTACATAAAAAAACATTAACTTGCAATACCCAATAATATGATACATTTTGAACAGCTTGGATGAGTTTAATGATAAACCATGTATTAAAAAAATGACTAAACGCATAGAAACACGATTGTTGTAATGTCACACCTTATGATCTGATGATCAAACACATAAAACACTATCTACCAGCGCCAACACCAACATCAACTTGATTAGCGACAACGTGATCTCAATGATCTTAGTGATCATTTGTATATTAGGTAAATATACTTTGTATATATAGAATATATATTTGATCTGTAATCTTAGTGATTAGGATCAAACATTTACATAGATTAGTATACATCCCCAAGATAGTGGGATCTCTGTTTCTGTAATCGTATATATTGTACTATTAGGGTTAAATCCTAATAGAGCATTGTGTCTCGCTTTGTGCAACTATTCTCTATGTGAAACCTTTTCTTAGTGAAAGTATCTTTCTGGCCATCTTGTTCTTCTATTCTTTGTTTGTTCTTCATCATTTATACTTGACTGTATTCGATCGATACAAACCTTCAATTGGTATCATAGGGGTTTACAATACATTCAAGTTTTCATGTCTTCCTCCTATAATCCAAAGTTGTCGGCGGTTAACAAGATCCCTCCTTTCGATAAATACAACTTTACAATGTGGAAATCAAAGGCTATGATTGTTCTTGAAACCATGGACTTTGATATATTGAATATCATCGATAATTGTCCACACGTTCCAATGTATCAACCTATGGTTAACAACTGTCACGAGTCGGTGTTCTAGAATCTTCCAGACCGATCAAGAAGATGGTAGAACAAGTAATAATCTACCATAAGTCCCTAGAACGATCTAGAATTCTCTAGAATGCAAAAGTATAGAATAGAATTGTGTAGAACTTTGTATATAGATAAGGATCTTGTAAGAACAATCTAGAATACTCGGGAATATACGAAATCTAGAAACTTCCCTTTGAGGAGGTGTAGGATGCCTATAAATAGGAGGAGGGCTCATTTGTCCAAGGCATCCAAGAAGTTCTCTTGTAAGAAGTAAAGTTGTATAAAGAAGCTCTTTTCTTAGAAGTGTTTCTTGTCGTTTCTCTTGCTTCCTTTAATCGTTAATACATCTAAGCCATCGAAGTTAGCCTGACATAGTCGGAGAAAATACTAAGTGGCGCACGGTGATTGAAGCATCCCGTGACACGTGGTATCAGAGTCGGAGTTCGTACAAGCAAGAGATCATGACTACGGAAGCAGGAAGTAGTGAAGTCGCAAACGTGCCCCCTATCGTCGAGGAGAAAGGAAGAAAGTCCAGGAAGAGGGACCAATCGATAGATGCCTTGGCAAGCTTAGAGAACAAGCTTACAAGGACGGAGATTAACGTCGGTGAGATCCTTGAATGGAAGGATATCGTCGATCAGTTCGTTGCCAAGATAAGTGACACGAGTGATGGATTGAAGGAGACTATCGGTGTCATCAAGGAAGAAGTCCTTGGACTTATTAACACGCTGCAGAATGAGTTCCGTGAGAAGGTAGCTACTCTAGAAGCTGAAGTAAAGTTGTGCAAAGCTACAATTGCTGGAGGAGCAAGTACAAAGATGACGCTACATGCCGATGCACCTAAACCCCTGAAGTACGGAGGTAAGCGTGACCCTAAACTTCTTGAAGAATTTTTCTGGTTCGTAGAATGTTATTTTAATGCAATCGAAGTAAAGGACGATAAGCCTAAAATAGACACGGCTGTCCTATACCTATGTGAGAACGCCGCCCTATGGTGGAGGCTGAAGCATAACGACATAGAAAAAGGGATATACACCATAGAGACCTGGGATGAGTTCAAAAGGCAGCTCAAGAAGCAGTTTTGTCCCCATAACACCGAAGATGTAGCAATGAAGAAGCTTCAGGGACTGAAACACGTTGGGTCGATTAAAGATTATGTAGCAGAATTTACTGCTTTAATGCTGGAGTTGCCTGAATTACAAGAAAAAGACAAGTTATATTATTTCCAAGATGGACTACAATCTTGGGCCTATAACGAGCTCAAGCGAAGGGATGTCCAAGACGTTGACGAAGCTATTGCTGTAGCGGAAGACCTTATGGACTTCCAAAGAGATGCACTGATTAGAAGGACTAGTGCAAGGGATGATAGACCCGCTGTCAAACCCTCAACTTTCAAAGGAAAGGCGATCGAAGGAGGGACTCGTAAGGAGGTGAAGTGTTATTTATGTGACGGTCCCCCATCTAATAAGAGATTGTCCCAAGAAGAAAAGTTTCAACGCCATGGTCTTTGAAGATGAAAATGAAGAAAGGGACGAACAACAACTAAGCTCGATGTGTCTCCTCAACTCGGTGGCTAAGGAAGAGACAAAACCAAAGAAGGGAGGAGGTCTCATGTTCGTGAAGACTAAATTAAATGGAGAGACAACTAAAGCCTTAGTCGATACAGGTGCGTCTCATAACTTTCTTGCTGAAAATGAAGCCAAGAAAAGGAATATTCAATACTCCAAGGAGATAGGTTGGCAGAAAGCAGTAAATTCCCCATTCGAACCCATCCTTGGTGTCGCCCACAATGTGCCCATCGAGATAGGAGGATGGAAAGGAATCATAGACTTAACGGTAGTCCTTATGGATGATTACTGCATGGTGCTTGGGATGGAATTCCTAGACGAAGCCCGACCTTTTTCATTTGAAGATCAAACCATGCGCCTCACCAAGGGATCCTCGATTCACATCGTTCCCTTAGAAGGAAGCAAGGCGAATTCCCGTATCATTTCAGCCATGCAACTTAGCAAAGGCCTTCGGAGGGGCGAGGTGACATTCCTAGCCACATTAAAAGAAGAAGTCGATTTTCCAGAAATGGAGGTACCGAACAAAATCAAGAAAGTGCTTGCGGAATTTAAAGAGGTAATGCCACCGGAATTACCCAAGAAACTACCACCACGAAGAGAGGTAGATCATGAGATAGAATTAGAACCAGGAGCAAGGCCACCGGCATTGGGGCCTTACCGAATGGCACCACCAGAATTAGAAGAGCTAAGAAAACAGTTGAAGGAGTTACTAGACGCTGGCTTCATCAGACCTTCCAAAGCTCCATTTGGTGCCCCCGTATTGTTCCAAAGGAAACAAGATGGTAGTATAAGAATGTGTATTGACTATCGAGCCTTGAATAAGGTAACCATGAAGAACAAGTACCCAATCCCCTTAGTCGCCGATCTCTTCGATCGACTCAAAAATGCTTGATGGTTCACAAACTTAGATCTACGATCAGGGTATTGGCAAGTTCGCATAGCAGCAGGAGACAAGCCAAAGACAACATGTGTGACCAGATATGGATCGTTTGAGTTCTTGGTCATGCCCTTTGGACTCACAAATGCACCGGCCACATTTTGCACCCTCATGAACAAAATCTTCCACCCGTTCTTGGATAAGTTCGTAGTAGTGTATCTAGACGACATCGTAGTCTACTCAGAAACATTGGAGGAACACGTGGAACATCTAAGATTGGTTTTTCAGTCATTAAAGGAAAACCAATTGTATGTGAAGATGGAGAAATGCACTTTTGCCCAACCTGACGTGAGATTCCTTAGGCACAAGATTAAGGACGGGAGGATCTACATGGATGAAAGAAAAATAAAAGCAATTTCAGAATGGGAACCACCTAAGAACGTGTCCGAACTACGATCTTTCCTAGGTCTGGTCAATTATTATCGAAGATTCATATCAGAATACTCTGCACGGTCAACTCCACTAACTGATGTACTTAAAAAGAAGGTCGCATGGGAGTGGACGGATAAGTGTTAAGAAACATTTGAGGAGCTAAAGAAGTCCGTAACG